CGACTTTGTTTAAGATTTAAAAAAAAAAAAAAAAAAAATTCGATTTAAACAAAATATAAAAAAAAAAGCAGGAATTTTTTTTTGGCATTTTTTATCATGAGGGATATGGTCCCTGGGGTGAAGTCCCACCGCCCAAGTTTAAGTTTATAAAACTTAACGTGTGACACCATTTTGACATTAATAAATTCGAAACAAGAAATTAAAAAATTTGAAAAAAATCGCTAAAAACAGTTTTTCTCTTTATTTTTTATTAAGTAACTCGGATGAATGAAACACGTTTGGCACAATCGGAGTGAATGTATCCGTGGAAAAGTGAACTTCCCGTGGTGAGGGGACAGGAGGTCACCATTCGTAAAATGGACAGGGACAACATGGATGCCCAAATGCGTTCATTGCCCAAAGAAGGAAGARAGTTTGATGCGAGAGAGCCAAACAGAGTTGTCAGAGCTCCTCCGTTTCAGGGTGTAATGATGTCTTTAAAAAAAAAAAAAACGAAAGGCAAATAAGTTGAGAAATGTACCCTACCCTCTGTAGGGTAGTTTTCTCAACGGAAAATGGTTTCCTGCCCAAACGGAAAGGGCCAAAGCATACAACAAAACGGGTACCAAAATACAGGAGAATAACCTATTAGATTTGGTCGTTTTGTACATTTTTTCGTTGACGTGAAATTAGATTCTCAATACATCAACGGCAGAGCTCCGTCCCACCATGCCACCCGTGATAGAAAGCGCAGCGTTGAGAAAACTCAACTTCGGCGATGGGACTTCACCCCTGAGTTGTGCTGTATTTGTTTTTGAAATGATTTTCGTTTTTTTGTTGGGAAACTAGGTGTTTAAAAAAAATGAAGATGCAAAAATTAAAACAAATCAACAAAAAAAAGGGTCCAGGCTGGGGTTGGTGTGTGTGTCTGTGTCCTCTTGTGTGTGTGTGTGTGTGTGTGTGTGTGTGAGAGAGAGAATCAATCAATCAATCAATTAACGCTCTAGCGGACGCCTAAATAAACAGGCACCGCGCGACGCGCGGTCGACCGAAAACACCTCAAAGTCACATTGTTGTCGATGCCGTCCTCCACACGTACGCACATGTCACCAGCAAGCACGCCAACTGAAGAGGAAAGAAATCTTTTTAATCATAGCTTAATCAGAAAATAAGTAACCAGCAGAAAAAGGTTCCGGCCGGCGATCACGCCGACCCTTCAGCCATCAACAAAATAAAAAAAATCACGCGCGCCTTAAACTCGCGTGCCCACTCACTCTCTGCTTCTAGACATTCTAGTCAAACTTTCAGCCGATAGACTGCTACAACTCACGCAGTCTACTCACAAATTCCGACTTAAACTTTATCTCTGCCACTTGCAAAAACCAGGGTGAATACCCTTGTAAGGGTATTCGGGCCRACAYCGTATTTTATTTTTATTTCAAATTTGGTAAGGAATTTGGATGTAATGCTCAGGCAAATCTTGTTTAATTTATTTTTCTCCATAAAATATCATTTTTTCAGATTTGTTTGATGTTTTTTTTTTTTTTTTTTGTCCGTGTTCGACCCGAACGACCGAACGCATCCCCAATGAGGTCCCATACGTTCGGGTGTCCGGGTTCCGGCGTTCGGCCCGTCCTGAACGCTGATTACCCTTCTGCCTGGTGTATTGGAACAAGTTGAGCATAAATTGTGTCCAGTTTGCTCCTTCCGGTGGCAATACTCCGAACAGGAGTGTCTTTATGGTCCATGGTAGGTGTTTTCACGTGATGTAGTGCCAAGCTGCATCCCACCGGCGCCAGATTTGGGCCTCCATGGGACAGTCCAACAGACAGTGTTCCA